TATCATTATTATTATTAATTTCATTGTCCTTTCCATTATTATTATTATTTTTAACATCATCATTGGTCCTCATCATGCAGTGATTATCCACCACGCCGAGGAGGATCTGGAGAGAGAAGTTGCCATGGCTGGGAGCGACAGCTACAACGTCGGCGTGCAGGTAAATGTGTGACCTATCAAAACATGGAAGACGCAAAATTTTCTGGTCATTCCTACGTCTGAAGAAGTTTAACTTCATTATCCATACGTATTGTCTTATTATATTAAGCTTAACTTCATTATCCATACATATTAACTCATTATATTAAGCTTAACTTCATTATCCATACATATTTTCTCATTATATTAAGCTTAACTTCATTATCCATACATATTTTCTCATTATATTAAGCTTAACTTCATTATCCTTACATATTAAGAGGCGTGCTGACACAATGAGTTACTTCTCAGATTTTAGCCCCATGGAATTAGGTACGTCCAATTGATAGGTTGGGTTTTCACAATTCATTAGTTATATGAAATGATAGAAGACATGTTAAGCTTGAAGAGAATGGTTTTGTTTTTGGGTCTATAAATAGAACCTTTGTGTTGATGTTCGGCGACATCTCCGTACACGGATTGCAAGAAGTACATGCAACTCATTTTGTCAACCCGCCTCACATTTTCTCATTATATTTTCTTATTTTACAGTCTTAAAACATTTTTTAAAAAACATGTACACTATGAAATGTTCAATCTAGCGTTTCTGGTTTGTGTATGCAGTGTGTTCGATGCCTCCCTAAAGAGTTAAAACACGGGATTAATTGATCACTTTTAAGGACAAGAGGGCTTACCCAGATTTCGAGGTTTCCAGAAATCTTGACCTACTCCAAAAGTGGGCATTGCCCTACCTATAGAAAAAGTTTGATTTTATATGTGAGTATATTGTTGTTTGGTTATAGAGAAAACTCTTCCTTGTCTTTCAAAGAAACTGAATAAGGATCCAAAAACTTTACCTTCGATTTTCTCGAAACAACATTTTCCGGGGTAGCCTGCATGTGCCTAAAAGCGACCAATTGACCATTGATCTGATTATACTTACTCACTTTTACTTTTTCGTTCCTATGGTATCCTTGGGATGTCAAGGAAAGGTAAAGGTTTCGGTCCTGTCCTAGGTGTGTAGCGTCTGCTATCGATATGTTATGTTGTTCCAGGACCTTTTTAACTCCATCCTGTCAGGTCATTCTGTTGTTCCACGACCTTTTTAACTCCATCCTGTCAGGTCATTCTGTTGTTCCACGACCTTTTTAACTCCATCCTGTCAGGTCATTCTGTTGTTCCACGACC